TGAAATAATGAGCATTGAAACAGGGTGTGCAGGGCAAGGCTGGAGTTCCCCCATCCTGGAGGGATTTAAAGCCATGGGGAGGTGGCACTTGGGGACATGGGGTGGCCTTGGCAGAGCTGGCAATGGTTGGACTGGAGGATCTTAAGGACTTTTCCAACCCTGCTGATTGTATTTTGTGTAGGAGTATAAACATTAAAACTGATTTGTCAAAAAGAAGATTCTTTTGTCAAATATTTGCAGTCTTCACAAGAAAAGACAAAGTTGGTGTTATCTCATTTCTAAATTAGGGGTGAACTCCCACTACCAACACAGGAACCTGAACTGTAATTTCTATTAATTTCTATTAATGGCACTCTGGATTCATCCTTAAATCCAGCACTGTCACCCCAAGTCAAATATCAATTCTGGACACTTCCACTGCATCCCTCACTGGATGAAGCAGTTCCCTTTTAGGAATAGCACTTTTGATATTTTCATTATAAAAAGGAAATCAGGCAGCTCAAAGTGAAGCCCCATTTTAACCCTTTAGATTTTCAGATCACCACACCTCCAGAAAACACAGCAGTAACACACTCAGAAGCACCAAAACACTTAAAATAAATAAACAGAACTAGTTCTCTATTCAGACATTTATCTGCAATTTTGAAAAATTCAGTCAGCTTTTAAATTCTGTATTTTAAAAAATCCTGCTGTCCAAAAGACTTCAGTTTTGTTGTTTGAGTTTTTGGGTTTTTTTTCATTTCCAGGCATGTTTTATTTTTACAATGCTATTTAGTTTGGAGAGTTTTTCACTAAGAAAAAAGTAAAGAAATTTTCACTGGCAAAGCAAAGGGGCTATTTAAGAACACAAAACAGTCTAAAAACTTTCCTGTATGCTTGAGAAAAATCTATGACTTGTCTAAAAGTTCAGTATAAAGTAGAAAAATCATCAATATTCTGGCCTGGGAACTGAGACATCCTCATAATATCACATGAGGTGTTTAGACACTACTGGAAATGATAGAAATAGCCAATAAAAATTAGAATATTAATTAAAATGAGCAGAATTATATATAGATACTACATCTATACCCTGCTCGAGTGGGTGACTAAAACAGGGGGTTGGAATTAAATCACCTTTAGGGTCCCTTCCAACTCAAATACATTCTCTAATATATTTTAAATCCATTCCTAGAACTCAGAGCAAGACTCGAGGTCTCACTTTTGAATGTCCTCTTGTCATTTAAGCCAGTTCCATCCATATAATGACCAGGGGAATATTGCAGGAACGAGGTTTCTGTTATACAGAAAGTCATGGAAATGATGATATCCATTAAAATGCTCCGAAAATGTCGAGTTTATCATCTTTGCTACAGAACAGAGCAGCCTGAGCATAAATTATTTATGATGTGGAACAGTTTAATGGAGTATAAAATAGCTTTTTTTCTTCTCACGAGCAGTACAAGCCCTGATTTTTATTTTTTTTTTTTTTGTTGTTGTTGTCAGCTCCACACTCGGCAATGTGCTCGACCCATTTACAGCTGTGACATGCAACAATTTGTAAAATTGTTCTCCAGAAACTCGAACTTAAAGGAATGACTTACACAAGCTATTTATTACTCTCTTAAAGTGCTATCACAGCACCCTGCCAAGAACACAGCAGGAAATCCCAGGAAAGCACAGGCAGTTCCTGCAGAAATTTAGGGAAGCCCTTACATGAGAATCTGCAGCATTAAATAAATCACATCCATAATTCATCCTGCAGGACATGCCCCAATTCCAGGCAATGCAGGAACTAGTAAAAATTTGGGATTACTCAAAGGGATTTTAAGGCCAAAGATTTAAAACCTTAAATTAACAGAACTATGGAGGGTAAAATAGATCCCAAAGGGAAAAGGGAGCCCAGTGTAAAACTTCTGACTCCCCTCAATTCTTCACAAATGATTCAAAGGAAAAAAATGTTCTGATAGGGAATCCTGGAATGGTTTAGGTTGGAAGGGACCTCTGGGATCGTTTAATTCCAACCCTTTGCCATGGGCAGGGACACCTTCCACTATCCCAGGCTGCTCCAAGCCCCAGTTCCAAGCTGGCCTTGGACACTTCCAGGGACCCAGGGACAGCCACAGCTGCTCTGGGAATTCCATCCCAAGATCCCATACACAAAACACAGCTTTTAACATTCCAAAAATTCCTTCAGTTTGTTCCTTTTTGCCTATTTAAAACATTTCCCTCTCTGACAGCTTTAAAAGTGACTGGATAAACCTGGCCTCACTGGGATTCCAATTATCCCAGGTTGCAAAGTAGGCACTAAGTATGGGGGAAATAATCTCAGATTT